AATCAGTAAAGCCTAAGGGCGATGTGACAATACAATTTAGGTGATCTCTGCTAATCACATGGGCAATTATAATAGCCATTAGGAATATTCGTCACCAGATGGGAAAACTAAAATAATTATAATTTATTTTCCGGCTATTGATGGTATTCATATCATAACCGAAATATTTGTCTATTACTGGTTGCCATTAGTTATATTGAAAAAAACGGTTAGTTATCACTTTATAAGTGTTACCTATTACTTATTAAGTTAAAACAATTGTGGCAATTGGAAAAAAAATCCCCAAAGCAACTATTTAATCTTTAGATTTGAATTTATAAAAGACAGAAGTKGTTTAATTATATTTTAATACACAATGAAAAAAAAATAGGAAGCGTAAAAATGCATAGGTAACATTTTATTAATTATTTAAATCACAACTTACAATTGATTACTACATTAATATGAAATAGATACATAATATTATAAGAATTACATGTTAATGCATTAATACATAAAGAACAACTGGCAAAATCTAAAAACTGCTTATCAGTATTACAATATTATCACTTATCACAACTTCTCCGGTTTACAATATATTTTTTAATTTTTAATTTTTAGAATTATGATACAATAAAAAGAAAATAACCTAATATTATGATAAAACAGAAGTAAAAATAATATAGATAATGGTACATAAAATAACACAGTTCAAGTACAAACAATACTTATTTTTTTATTTAAATTAATATTAAAAGATTTTACTGGGCTTCGCTGAGAAAAACTCGTAGGAGGCCCAGGGTTATCTAGTTTACAAATAATTATTATTGCTATAGAGTATAGGAATACATTACATTTTTATATAAAGATAAACATATTTTTTTTCATAATAAATCTAATAAATAATTTAAGTAACAGTGTTGATTTGCATGTTATACAATATTAAGTTTTAGTAACATTATATTTATATCGGAGTCAGCGAACAATTTTTTTTATAAAATAAACAGTGGCATATTAGGTATATCACTGGGCATTAAGTTAATAGTGAAGTAATATAAGTTCAGTATATAGATATATTATAGTATATATTTTAAAACAATGTATGTATTGTAAGTTCATGGGTAAGTCATGGTATCATAAATGAAAACATTGACAATACTAATCCCCAACTTGAAGCAGATATCAGATGTCTTATCCGGAAAAGAAGGAAGTGTCCTACCCCCAAATTTTACACCAATGATAAGTTTTTGTATGAAATTTGCGCCTATTACTTCCGTGGACGTTCAACGATCCTTTAGTACATACAAAATTATATTAACTGAATAAAGAACAAACAYGACCCCTCAAAATGCGATCTCCAAGTTTCCACGTCCAACCGACGCTCACGAAGTCCGACGGTTTTTGGGTCTAGCCGGCTACTTCAGGAGGTTCATTGTGCGGTACGCCGAAATCGCGGCACCGCTCGCGCAGTTGACCGGCAAGGACGTGTCTTTTGACTGGTCACGGGAACGGGAGGAAGCTTTTACCACGCTTCGGGAAGCGCTGTGTAATGAGCCCGTGGTTAGCATGTTCAATCCTAACGCCGCAGTCTTTCAAGTACACAAGGATGCCAGCAGCCGCGCGCTGTCGGGCATATTATTACAAGGTGACACCGCGACGTCGTTACATATTGATAACATCCAAGCCGCTAGGGTGCACAATGAGTATTGTGTATTAGTGTATTGTAGTTAGTTGTTGGTTGTCGACCGTATGCGCCGGAGCGGCCGTCAGAGTGTGATAACTAATAAGATTGATGTTAAWAAAGTTGTTCTGTTAATTAATTCGTGTTAGTCTGTGCGCCTATAGTTAACATTATTTCAGAAGTGGGATTCGGATTGAAGAACGTAGTGCGAGTGTTGTGTCAAAATTCGGCTGGGTTGGAAGAACTCGGGTGTACTTCGTTGGTCAAGATGGATATTGTAGAAGTGCCTGGGAGCAAGCCAGTAGTATGCAGACCGTACAAGAC